CAAAAATGGAAAGCAGCCCAACGCATCTGGCACGCGCGATCTGGAAAAGCCACAGGAACTGCTGAGGATTATCCGAATCATCTTTTTATTGCCTACTTTTTCAATCCAGAAATCTTTAGCCATAGCTCACTAGTTTGTCATTGAATTTGAGAGAGTTGGAATTAAAAATAATTTCGCCATTTTGTTTGTTCCGGAATCAAAAACATTTGGCAAGGTTAATTTTTGAATATTTTTTTTTACTTTTTACAACTTTTTAATTTTTATATAAAATTCTCGTCTATTATCAATTCTGTCAACAATATCTCTTTGAGTATTTTATTCTAGGTAATATTGCTCAGATATGTTTAGAGTGGGTCATAAAACAGTTTTCCTTATTTTTTTTTGGTATATGAATCTTATTTCAATAAAACACTTATTATTCATTATCATTGTTACTGATAATTGTAATTTTTTTATTTCAAAATGTAATTTTAATTGGAAGAAACAACCTGGAACCGTGATACTGCAGATAAATTTGATTAGTTTTCAAATTAAAATTTTTTTATTGATCGAGAAGAATAAGTAAAAATAATTATAACATTTTCGTTGATCTCAAGAATTTAATAATTTCCATTAAGATAAATGCAAATTGATGCAATTGATCTCAAATTTAAAGCTATAATAAAAGTAAGAGGCTTTATTAATGGTTTTAATATTGGTTGAATCAATCAATCAATAATATTGGCTTGTTAAATTTACAAACTGACGCTTTTTCATTGAATTTGACATGCTTTTGGTTATCAAAGTCATAACTCTAGTCGTTTCCGACACCTCTCCTAAACACAAAGTGTCGCTCGATTTAACACTTGCTTGCATGTTGCAGGTGTGCTAATTTCCAAGCCTCGGGCCTCCTTACACGTATATATTTCATAGCGGCGCGGGCACACAATCTTTCATTGTTTGAAAACACACACACTGCAAAAAGTCATGTGCAGCTCGGAAGGCGCGGCGGCTGACAAGATGACGTTTTTAATATCGTTTCGGGCCAATCTGTCTTCCGGTTGACAGCATTATGTGGAGTTGCAGATACAAATTACTTTTGCAGCATTATTACGTTTCAGCGAAAACTGGCGCCAATATGAAAAGCTGCACCAGATGATAATTCATATCTGAAGTTGAGCCTCGTCCGCGCGTTTCTCTCTCGCACGCGATTTCGCGGCGTTTAATTTCGCTGCAGGGCGCGAAATAATAAGTCTGGAAATTTCGCACACGTGGCGAACGGATTATTTTCGCGCCCAATTATTATTTCGACTTGTTTCTCGCGCTGCCGAAATAATGAATTCGACTGCTCTCTCGCCAACGGCACGATTGTCCTACTCCCCTGCGCTATATCCGTGCTAATGAGCAACGCACTATAGACGGAGGGAGGCAAGCTTGGAAGTCTCGCACATTAGCTTTAACGGCGGCAACCATCCAGGGCCGAGTTGGCTCGCCAATAACACTAACGCTAAACGGCGTAGGATGCGGTGGCTGAATGTTGATTTTTGGGCGCACCGAAAAACTGCTGCAGACGCTGCTCTCTTTTGGGACTTTATGTTCTGGAAAATTAGCGGCGGCGATGGGCATTAGAAGTCAATTAACTGCGTGGAATGAATACTTGTGCTATACGCATAAAAATGGGACCACCTTTATGTTTGCAAATGTTGGTTCAGCTTTCACTTATTTCTAGCCTGGAATAAACATTTAATAAAGGCCTCATTAAGAAAGTTAAAATTTGCAATCAAATTTTCCAATATTTAGATTTTTTTTAAATTATAATTTTTCTTAGTATCATTTATTTATCAAGCAGTTATCGAGTTATAAAAATATATTTGATATTTCAATTCACCTCAATTCTAATATCAACTGAACCACTTTTCAAAAGTTATTGTTTTTCTTACTCTCAGAAGTTTTACCATTATTAAAAAGGATCATTTGAGTGCCACTTTCTGGCTGGAAGAAAATTCGGAGGTCACTGGAACCCGGGAATTGATTCAGAATTCCAAACAATTTTCATCTCATTGAAAAAAATGTAACAAGTAGTCTAAATTTCAAGTAAATTTTTCTAGATTAAATTTCGAGAACAAATATCGCAATGAAAAGTTGAAACGGAGATTAAATTTTCTGCGAGATTTTCTACAAAATTGTCATATTTTGTGCAATTTATTAAATTTTATCTTCTGTTCACGTTTTCAAAAAAAAAAAAAAAAACAAACAAATAGGGCCATTTTTTGCTGTTAATTTTAGTTTGATTAAATTTTCAACATATATGCAAAAATGTGAGTCTCCATTTGTCAAACGTGCCCTCTACATTTAAATTACATATTTATTTCTATTAGCAATTCTTGAATTGGCTTCCATATTATACAATATTATGTAACTTTACCAAAGTTTCTTGTATAATCAGCACCGAAATATGAAATCTGGTGGCTATCGTGCCACAAGGCCATTCTCACGCTCTCGCAACACACTTTTGTTTTCAGAAATTTCCACGAGCTGCTGTATATTCTCGTCTTCTTTTTCAAATCCATTTAAATTCGTGTAGCACGTAGGCGCAGCTCTCATGCTGGGCTTGCTTCGGATAAGGTAAACATTTCTATATGCATAAGTAATTCCGGCGGCGGCAGAATGAGAAAGCCAATATCATAAATATTATTGGCCGACGGCAAATGGTATTCACGCTACCTTATCAGCGATCGCGCGGGCAATACTCCCCCAGCTTGATTATTCGGCCTGCTGGTGAAATATTGCATAGAGCAGGTACATTAGTATCGCGAGGGCCAGTATGAGTCTTCTCGTTGGTTTTATTAAATCTTAGGGGCAAAAATTTAAGTACCTTGCTTTGAATAATAATATAAATTTATCATATTTTTATACAATTTGGAAAATGATTTTAAACTATAAAAATTTAGGATGTGAACTTTTTTTAAATTAATAAACAAATAAATTTTTTAGTACAAAACTTTATTTCTACAACTCAAACTAATATTAAGTAGTTTACCATAGTATGCTATTTATTGACATTGTATAATTATTTTTTCAAATAGAAACGTTTTCCTGTATTTCATGGAGATCATCTTTAAGTATTCATTTGATAAATAAATTAAATTAATATATTCTGGTTTTCTGCTTAATATAGAATTATGATAAATGATGGCTGAACTTTCGTTATATAGAAAAATTTCTGCAAACCAGCCCATTTTAAAATTGAAATAATTTTTTAGAATTACAAAGAAAAAAAATTTAGACTTCTAATTTTCAAAGATTTGTTTTCAATAATTTAGTGACAATAAATTTAATAAACAGACCCTTAAATAAAACTTTCACTTCCCAATTTAGGCCGACAACCCATTCTTCCCGTTTGAAAGTTTTAGCTGAACAAAAATTTTAATTTCCACCACAAACCCTTTTATTTCTTCGCTCTTTGGTCCCACAGAGGATTATCTTTTAAAGTATTTTCAAAAAACGAATAAAAAGCCGCAGCACACGCTGCTTGTAAACAAAACATCATAATCAAATTTTGATTGGAAATTTTCCAATCCCCTTTTCTGTTTCATCCCCGGCGCGGTGTAAATGAATACATTCCACAAAGGGTGAAAAAATTCCATTTAATTTTCCGCCACCAACAGCTTGTTGTTGGACGGGCTGTCCGTCCGACACACACATACACACAGCGGCGCAAAAAGCAGATTAACAAGCGCCAAGCCCCCTTGAAAACAAAGCCGCCCGCTCTGTCGGCGGAATCATTATTTTATTTTTAATTACGCCAGGTTTTTCCCACCACCGGCAGCATAAATAATTAAGCGCGACGCCCACACAATAAAAAAACCCGCCGCTAATCCATCGATGAAAAAAATTACCTATTAAAAGCGTACAAAAGTGGAAAATCTCGTCGCGCGCTTTGTTGTTAAAATCCAGACCTGATTGCGTCCGAATAATTTGGAAAAAAGTGCACCGTGGCTAATGTCTTCATCCAGTAATGAGAGTGGGCGGCCCGGCTATTAATTACCCGGGCCGAGTAAAAAAGGATTATTCATGGAGGCCCCTTGCTTTGGCGATGTAATCATGTAATGGCCGGTCGACTGGCTGCATGCACGGCTTTCTGTTTTTGGGGATGGCCTGTGCGCGGTCCGTGTTGGATATAACACCGTGTATTAGCTGCCACACACACGCGGCCTTTAATGTAAACACAATTACATGCATGCGATTTTAATCAAAGCTGACCCAGCCGCGCGCACGCTGGTGTTTTAAATTATAATTACGCAAATGATGCCTCGGATTGCGGCCGCGCATTAACTGATTGTTGTCTCGGCCCGCCAGTTATTATTTGCCGGTCGAGCCCCCACAAGGGAGCAGAGAAGTTTTATCTCTCGTGTCCCACTGGATGATCGGTCCTAATTATCTTTTCTAATTGGCGCAACACCATTTTAATTGATTCACTCTAACTAAGTAGCTTTTCTGTGAAACGAATCATTTGCTTTTATCTGCTGCAATCGCGGATAATTTGCTTCAAATGTTTAAAGTCGCCGTCGCAAGAGAAAAAATTGTTAATTTTAGCTTTAAACTTAATAACCATTATTGATTATATTCCAAATAAATTATAAATCAACAGGTTATAAAAATTTCCTCAAAAATCGCTTTGTTAATCCTCTTTTTTATTAAAAAGGTATTAAGGCAATTATTCAGTTCAAAGCTTATAGCAATTTTATAACAAAATAACCTTTGTAATTTGAAATTTAATTTTGCCTATAAATTCACAAATTTGCACAAATTTCTTTTCATTTCCTCCAAATTACTGCTGAAGGCCATTCATTCCAACGATATTATTGCGACTTACCAATTAAAATTTTAATACCTTTTAATGGGGAATCAGATACAAGGAAACACTTCAAATGGGATTGTTTTATAATAATAATAATCAGATTGAATTTGTTTTACCTTTTACCTCTGCCTTTTCTTATGAACTTTTATTTGTGTTTCAGTGAGCACAGTCCGGATAGAAGCCGTCTTGGGCAGAAACGCGGAGATGCCGTGCAACATCGACCCTGTGACGAGAGATGACCGGGTGTACATGGTTCTCTGGTTCAAAGAGGCAGCCGGAAAGCCGCTTTACAGGTAGGAATTTAGATAATTCCTAATAAAACTTGGTGCAGATCAATAAAATCCCTGGGCCGCTCGCCAGATGAAATTTCTATTTAAAGAAAATCGTCGCTTGCTCCTGCGCCGTCAGGCTTGGAATTAGGTTTAAGGAATGCTCAGAGACTGTCGCCTTGCTCCATTTTTATCAGACAAAAAGCGCACAGACAGCGCGGCTGCGTTTAAGCCCGTCGTGTTGTATTTTCCTTTTTTCGGCACGCCGCAGTCGCTCCTTTTTTTCTTTTCCTTCGCCTCTGCTCCGCTTTCATTTCATTCCGCCGTGAGTTGTATTAAAGCAATTTTCCTCTCTTTGCAAACTGTGGCGACGACGAGTATTTTGCCCGCCCGTTGAATCCGATAGTAATCCGTTGTGTGGGAAAATATCATCCGCTCGCTGAGGTGAAGAAAGACTGAAAGCCCTCTCTGACTAGATATATTCGCGCATTTTGTCCCCGGGGAATCGGTCTCTGGAAAAGCAGTTTTGAAAACAAACAAAAGCGAAAAAAAAACGCGCTTCCCAGAAGTACAGAAGGGTCGAGCGCATTTTTCGCATAAAAGAAATATCCAGAGTGGAAATCAATGGCCTAATTATTTATTTATGCACCGCTGAAAGCCCTATAATTTTACGCCCAAATCCCATGGTGGCTCTCAAGGGCATTATTTTTGTATGACCTCAGAAAAAGAGCAGCGCTCAGAAAAGCAGAATAGGCACATTGTGTGTTTTCCGTGAAAAACGTGCATGTTGTTGACAATAAGCACCCTGCGGCCAGTTCGGAAAAATCTAATCAAAAGCGCTCAAACGAACAATTTTTTTCATGCCATTTTTAAACCAAACTTTTTTTTAAAGTTATAATTTTTTACTCCTTTTTCGTTCATTTTCCGACATTGGAGAGAAACCCATCTGAAGTGCAAATTTTTCATTGGAAAAATTAAAAATATTTTGCCAAGATTATGATATTTAAAAATAAAAATAAAATCTTTAACTTATGGGCTTCTTAAATTATTTCATTCTTTTAAACAACAAAACATTTTCTTTGTGGTTTACTTTCAAATTAAGACAAAATTAAAATAAAATTGAAAATTATAAAAGACAGAAATTACTTAAATTGAATCTATAAAGAACATAAAAATTTCATATCTTTTCAGAAGAAAAACAGTTGGTAGGAATAGTTATCAGCTTAAAGTTTGATTGTTGAAAGTTATATTTGTTTTTTGATAACGGGAATTTATTGCAGATCGCTTCTTGTCAATAACTTGTACTTGCTTCATCGGCGCAGCGAAAAAAGCTGCAATAACAAACACGAAACGAGGTCTGCCGAGTGAAAAGCTGCGCGCTGCACCGGCGAAAAAGCAGCCCGAGCGAAACCAATTTTCTTCACCAATATTCACGTGGAACGAAATTACGGCTGAGTAAAATTTCACGCCTCGCAGATTTATGTCGTTGTTGTGTGCGAGAGCAAAAGAATTCGCTGCTCGCTCGCTCAGTCGGCGGCGGCGGCTGCAAAATAAAAGCAGCCGTACTTGGCGCAATTACCGTTGAATACGTGGGGCTGAGAAATAACGTCGACGATGGGAAAACTGCTGTCACCAGGGTGGAAATGATTTTTCTCGGAGCGACGGTTTTCTTTGCTCCGACTGCTCCGCGCGCTATTTTCCGCAAGAAATGATTTTGATACCCGGAAATGGAGGGGGATAAAATAGTGGAGGAGGACGAGTAGATTTATAATAGAGCCGGGTTGAGATTTACTTTCTGTGCGACCAATAACTGCTGTCTCTTTCCTTTGTGTCACCGAGAATGGAATTTCGAACTTGATTTTTCTCAGAGATTGGCCGAAATAATGAGATCACGCAGGATTTTGCCCCCGAAGAAGAAGCAGCAGACCCTAACGCTTCTATATGGCTTTCTTGGCGGCCGGGAATAACCGAGCTTGCCGTCTTTACAGAAATAACTTTGCTTTCCTCAACCTTCCTTGAGCGGATTCTTTAGATTTCTCCACAACGGCATGTGTCTTTTAAAAATGATGGTGCTGTGAGAAAAACGATGAAAATGTCGAAGCCCTCAATTTCTGTTAAAATTCTTGTTCAATTTTATCTTTAACTTTTACAATTAATGTTGTCATTCTGTTAGTACAAAACTTATTTTTGCTAACATCTTGAATTATTAAAAGTGTATAATATTTTGGTAATTTTTATAATATTTATAATTTTTTTATTTATTATTATACTTTTGGGTACAATTATTTCATAATTTAAAAATAGATTTTATTACACACTTTCATTTAATTTTTTTTTTTAATTTTGAGAATAAATTTGAACTCTTCTGAGGCAAGAAGTTCAGACTGATAATTTTTTTAAATTTTTCAGATAAAATTCCTATTTGATTTGATTTCAATGAATTGAAAAAAAAATATAGTGAATTAACTAACTACATAGCAATCTATATGTTGAACTCGAATCAATTGATGAACCAAACTGATGACTTTTTTCAAAACTCATTTGGCAATTTACTTTACCTAATTTCTACGCTAAAAATTAAAAGCCACTTTAACACAAAACCAATTTCGCACCCCAAAGGCCAAAATAATTAGCCGGGCAAATTGCGCCAAAAACGTTTATGCAGGGCTGAGAGGCAAGGGCAAAATTCTGCAGAGAGCGTCGATTGTTCGTGGCTGAAAACAAGGCCACTCATTTTGGTACCAAAAGCCTGCTTTTCTCAAGGCTCTCAATATAACAATGCAACGCTCCAGCATCTCTCTGGCGCGAGCAGTTAAAAACTAATCCACGACGAGGACTCATTCATGATTACGAAATAATGTAGCAGCCGGCATTAATTTCCAGCTCTCGGGTGTAATTTCTGCATTCAGCCGCCGCAAACGCGGTCATACTACAAAAGTTGAGCGAAAATTTATTGTGCGACTCTCCCCTTGCGAAATGCGGCTTGAAAGCCACTCTTTTCTCCGGCGCCAGAGTTAAAACGCGAGAGAAAAAAAACAGGAGAAAAAGCCGGCCAGCCTCAACTCTTGTGTATTTGCATGATGGTGTGAAGAAGAATGGTGCAACTTTTTTAACTTGCATATAAAGTACGTGGCCGCCCCCTCGAGAGAGCGGGCGGGCGCAGCCCCATGGGAACGGCGCGCAATTCTTCTTCTTGTTGCTCGGGCTGCCCAAAGGTAACTTATCAGAGCCCACTACTGCGCCCTGGGGAGAAGCGGCACGTCAGAATTAGCATGGTCAGCAGCCGCACGCGAAACGCCAGCCAGCATCCGTTTCCTACGAAATTCTTTTTATTGCCTCCGCTCTATGATTTTTCGGGCGCGATGCCGTGAAATATAGAAATTTGAATAATGTGGAGGCAAGCGATCGCTATCGGCCGCGTCCTTAGCATTTCCCGGCGGAATTTTTTTCACATTCTGCACTGCGAGATAAATCGACTTCTGTCACGACTGCAGGAGCGGGAATAACAGCACACAACACGGCACGGCTTGGAATTATTTATGGGGTGTGGTGCCACCGGCCGAGCCATTATCAACACCGCGCCAAATTAGCCTAATGCCGATTTTCGACTAGGATTTGTGTGTGCAAATTGCCTGAAAATCCCTTTCGTTTGATTTATCACGCAGGTCTAATGCGATCTGACTTTTAGCTGCGAACGTATTGATAATTTCAAACGTCCATTTCGATATAAATTGAAAATTCTATTTGACCCGTCACGTTATTTCCAGTTGTTAATTTGCTCTGGGCGTCTGTTTTTAATAAAAACAGCTCAAATATATGCGAGCCTTTGAGAAGGCCCATCCGCTGGAAATGTTCAATTTATTCCTGATGTTCTTGTTACACAGGCCGAGCCGCCGTGTGATCCTTTGTAGCATTTCGCTCCTCCACCTCTCCAGTTTCATTCAGATAACAGCCCTATATCGCCCTTTAGCATTTTTGGAGCGGCTTCAAAAATAGACAAGGGCTGCCGGACATAAAGGAAAGGTCAGTCTTGTCATAAAAAGCGGCGAATTCCTCGCCGAAACGCCAGCCAGCGCTGCACTCTCGCACACACCTTGCTATTCATCATATGACCTACAGCATTTTTCGCCGTTTCCTCTTTGCCCGGCCGAATGTAGCCGCTTTTTGGCCGAGCCTCCTTTGTTATTACAAAGCCTCGTATTATGCAAATGAGAGAGACCCTCTCTCAGCACCGTTGAATGGAGTCAGAAGACACCTCGGGATAATTAAAAAAGCGAAATCGCGTGAAGAGAGGGGGGGTGCCGGGCAATACCCATTAGAAATATGATAAGGCAGGGGTGTATCTTCGTGTATGCTTTCGCTTTTTTTCCTCCACTTGCACCTGCTACGATGAAAATAAATAGGTGTCAGTTGGAACACCGCTGCGAGGCTTAGATAACGTCACATGAACGCAAGAAGAGCAAACAGCCCGCGCCGGCGAAGCGGCGGTTCCTATTGCGAATATTTGTGCTTAAGCCGCCGCAGACGTAATTCGCGCGTGTATATATAAATATGTGGCGATGGGGCTGCTCATCAAACTTTATAATTAGTTCTGAAATGATAATCATCTTCAAACAAGAAGCGCACTTTTGAGAATTACATACCAGAGAGAGGGAGGCGGCACGCGCCGAGAAATGATTTTTATCATTACATCCCCCACGCCTCATCGTATTCAAATTTCCTGCGGATTCTGTTGGTGGGTCGCGTGCGAGGAAACATCGAGGCCAGATAATAATTCGGGGCTGCTGCTACTTGTGCTTCCTCTCTCTCTCTCGAAACGCGCGCCACTCAGCACCGCGAGTGTGTGTATGATGAAGTTTCGCCAAGTTAATAAAGAGTTTGCCAACAGCCCGCCCGCCCGCCCGCTGTCAATTTTAAGATGTTTTCATTAGGGCTTGAGACGAGTTAAAAAGTAACACGTGACAGGCGCAAAGTCGACGCTGCGCGCCCGAGCTTAATGTCGCCCTGATTAAATAAAATTGCAA